AAATTACACTACGTTTTTGTTGGGCAAATCAAATTCTGCAACATTTCCCTCTCCATTCTCAGGACTCAAATCCCCACCCCTGCATTCAAGTAACATTCTTCTAAATTTTTTTCAAGTTATCGAAGTTTAACCATTGGCTTTTACAAGTCAAGAAACATATAAACAATGTGAACTCATTGAACTATAAGAGTACAAAAATGTTAAAGATAAAATGTTACGCATCATGAACGTTGTTCAAGGACTCCGCATTCAGATCATCCCGGCAATATTCATAATGTCACCTGTAAGTTAAACACGTGCGTTTAATATTGAGTAACGTTTATTTTAAAAGAACGTTAACAATTCATTTATCAATTGACAGACTGGTTTAATTTGAAAAAAGCACTTACTACAACGCTCGATCTGATTGAAAGTGCTTTCAATGTTAGGACCACAAAATAGTTTTCTTATGTCGTCCAATTGGGCTGTTTTGTTGAGTATTTTTTCTGTATAAAAAAAATAGTTCAAAATGAATATTGTGCTATTGTGGTTCTATGTTCTACTATGTTGTAGAGGAATACTCACATAGAAGACTTGCATTTCGAATTACTTCTCATTCTTTTAATTGTTTAGTTACGTAAACTAGGTTATAATTTCATGTTACATTTTAAGCCTCGAACACAAATGTGCAGGCACCATTAAATTTCTCCTCGAAACACATATTGCTATGTGCCAGGACGCCTACAGCCTCAAAAAAATGGAATAGTCAAATGAAAAATTCCATTTCTAGGCACAGGCAAAGCCTCGAAAACACAATAGTGTCCAGGCAACGTTCAATCTACTGATGATTGAACAACACAAGCTTAGACTTTTTACGAATTTTCTGACTATGCAACTTATCGTTTTGCGTTTTGGTCAAGTGATGCATTCTTATTTTCACAAATGCCTCAGCACAACACTTTATCAGTTTATAAGCATGATTATCTGTAACTGTCGACTCTAACACATGCTCATCTAACATGCTAAAACTTTTTCTCTACACAGATAATACCGTCGCAGCAATTGCACTCGATATGTTTGCTGCATGTGGCAAGCCACCATGGCAGGAATTTACCATCCTCATTACACATTTCTCTGTTTCCTGACACACTTTCAGAAGATCGTCAGTTGGTATTTTAAACCACCGTTGCTCTTCCATGCCACAAATAGTTCTGGTGCTCTTTCTTTAGATGATGTCAGAGCATCCATACAATCATCACAATGGATCTTCCTTTTCACCATTTTTGCGATAGCCAGCAATATACGATATTGCTGCCTCCTTGTAGTCTGAAAGCTGAATGTAGTTTGAGGTGTCGCTGTAATCGTGGTCAGTTTGTTCTGGCCCACGCAGTTCTAGATCGTATCTTCTTGCAGTATTTACATCGGAAATATCTGCCGACATTTGTTCACTCTCACACCGATCTTCTAGTCTACTTAGAATTTCGGTACCATCCTGAGCAACACAATTTCCATGACCTCCTTTAATGTTATGTCGCATCAGCAGCTGCTTGTACGCTGCTTTGAACTGTCGAGATGTCGGGTTGTTGTTCCAACCTCCTGACGCTCGCACAGCTGAAAAAAACAATTCTAAATGATCTTGACTTGTCTTATAAGTAAGCAAATATTTAAGGGAGAATTGTCACTTATAACAAGATCCTCAGCAAGCCCTTGCACTGCTTCAATGCACAACAGAAACCCCAAGAATCCTGTTTTCCTCTTATGGGAAAAAATCGACTTTCCATCAGCACCCTTCAGATTTAAGATGTATTGCCTTGCTTCATCCAGGAAGGTTTTTATCAGCTTGTAATTCGCTTTCCTTATTGGTGCTTTGTAATTTTTAGAAATTGGATTCCTGGAATTCAAAACGTCAAACAAGCGATCAAATACTGAATGAATTTGACTGTTTTATCACACCCTTTAAACTGTGGAAGTTTGAGCTTACCTTCACAGAACTCTAAAGCATCTGCAACACTCGAGCTGAGTGCTTGCACTGCTAAATTTACCTTCATTTTCTGTGGCTTCCAGTTTATGTGAGCTTTCTTTAGTTTGTTGGCAAGTCGCAAGCCCTCTGAGGCTTGCAGTTTTTCTAGCTCAACTAAGTATTGCCATCTTACCAAACCATCTTTTTCATCCTTCAGAGTTCTCAATTCAGAAATTGCTCCTCTGACAAGCTTGATCATATGACAAGGATCTAAAAATGCATGAATTTTCAACATTAAATCAGATGGATGTAAAAAATATGCTTGAAAATCATTAAGTGAAAGTTTCACTCCAAGCAACTTCATCATTGCAAGGTGTGTGGATGGACCATCACACGTTAAACTTCCAACTTTAACACCAACATCATGCAACTGCATCAAACACTCCTTGGTTAGATTTGCTTTTACTTCTGCAGTGAGGCCATCTACCAAGAAGTAACCAACTGGTACTTTCCAGGATGAATCTAGAGCAACAGCCATGTATACCAAAACTTCTTTTGCTTCAGGGAGTGAATCATCATCAATCCCAGTACCAAGGTCAACATAACCACAAACTTTTTGACCATCCCATTCTACGTGTTTGCGGATTGACATTTCATCCAGCATCAATGCACATATGACTTCCTTGCCATCTTTCTTTGCTTCTTGAACCTTCACTTTCAAAGCATTCAAGGCATCTTTGGTGAAACCAGGGTCACCATCCATGGAATTATACCAAGATCGAATTACTCTTGGATGAGGTAAGGCTAAATTAAACTTCTCACGAACATAATCATAAGCCTTAGGCGAGTAAAATTTCAAAGTTAGTGCAAAAGCTTGCAATTCTGGGGGGTATTGAGCACCTTGTTTACCCTGAGTGTTTGCCACTAAACGACTCAAAATATCTTCAGGAACCCCAGATAGTGAAGCATTAAGAAGTTCAGCTTGATCAGAGCTGATCATTTTATCATCTTTAAGGCAATCAATGATTGACAATAAATCATTTACCTTCTTTTTCAGTCTACTTTTTTTCTTATTAGACACTTTTAACCTCTTTCTATAAGACTCTGCCCGGTCTATAACATCTTCCAATTGTCTTTTCAGTCTCCTGGGAGACTTAAGACAATATGAGTGATCATGAATAGAAAAATGACCACTCACCTTTTCAGTGCTCTCCGTGCATTCAACATCCTGCACCTGTTGAAATAATGTGGGCACGGCACTATCTTCTAGACACACTTTGTTACCTGTTTCTCTTCATGCTATCGGAAAATGATCTGAGCAAACTCTGCTCCACTTAGTTAGAACTGTGAGAGGCGACCATTTCTTTATACTATTTACCCATTCCGAAAAAGTGCAGGGTTTTTTCTTCGTCAGGAAAACTATTTGAAATAGATTAGTAAATTTATTGTTTCATGCGTTGATTCAACAAATAAATAAAAAAATTGTTGAATTTTGTAAAACACACATGAAAACATCAGTGTATGCAGTATTTAAGAGAATTTTTTCATAAGGCCTAACAGATTTTGGGGCTTTCAATTGTATAAATGCCGATTCAATCTTTCAGGAACAAACAATATAAGCGAATAACTCACCTGTGAAAAGCGATGTCCTTCGTGTTGTCAACATTACGACATTCTACGATTGAACATCGATTAGGCATTTTTGAAAAAAATATTGTTTTGGCCTTGAAAAATATTGTTTATTTATCATACAGCTCGCAATTGAATTTGAAATTTTCAACTGAAGGCGGGAAAATCAATAACATCAATCCGGGGGAGGTCGAGAATATTATTTTTCTGCAAAGCGATCATTTCAGCGGAAATACGTCCGTTGGCCGCCATTTTATTGGCGACCTCGCCCCAGTAAAGATAGCCGCTCCAGTTATTATAGAACTCAATGGTTATTATAGAACTCAATGGGTGAGATATGCACATATACGAAACTGCGCTTAATGTTGGTCTGCGGTATTCCACAGTGACTCTTTCCATGTAAATCGCGAATAAGCGTTATGCGTCCGTGGATTATTCGGTTTTTTGTACCGTTTTGTATATTGTATTATATTTATTGGTTTTCTCGTATATATATATATATATAAAATTTAAACCATGATCGAATTCAAAGATTGTTCTTGAACTACAAGGTTGGTTTACGAAATTTTATCTTGTTTACAATAACATCTATCTGAAAGACAAAAGTATGGTTGAATAACATTGGGAATCGAGATAATTTCAACCCACATATGGAAATAAACCTTATTTTGCAATGAAACATTTTTCATTGCAATCATTATTCTCACGATTTGCTGATTTCAAAATGTTTGTTATATTAAATTTTGATTATTCTAGTGCCATGTTTTTCTAAATTATGCATCAAACTTCTTAACTTCCTCTGTTCATTAATTTTGGATTGTTTACAAGAAGCTTGCTATGATCATTTGATATAATGTTTTAAGAGGTTTTCCAAAAGTATAAACTGGCATGTAAGAATCATGATATTACATAAACCAAACAACAATGGTTTAGCTCTAACAGGTTATATAATTTGTTAATTTTTAAAATTACAAATTTGTTAAGAAATTCCTTATGAAGTTATGACGTTTATATTAATTGTATGACACCAATATACATGAGATTATGATATTTATATTAATATATATTAATATTTTCAAAGGAGCAGTACATCATTAATCATTAACCCTTCAGTGCAACAGATGGTAATAAAAAAACAGAAATTTGAGTTATTTTTGCATAAACACTAGTTATTAAACTAACAAGTTGTCCATAGTGAAAAAAGATTGTAATCTTGATGAACTGTATGGTATATATTGCAAATTGCAAACACCTTAGTTTTCACCTAATCCCGGCAAACTGTTTTCAATTTGTTCATGTATTTGGCTACACAGCCTATTACACCTTTGCAGTTCAAAGATATGTCTAAAGTCAGGGAATCTGGGAAACTTAGATGCACGATTTCTTATGAGATGTTACTGTTTATGATGTCATTTTGCTAATATGTGTTAAAAAATGTTCTTTAATAGTTACTAACCTACATGATTATTTAACTTGTTCCATACATATATTAGAAGAAAGAGCTGAACTTGTCAAATTATTCCATATGTGCACAATATTTACACAGCTAAGCATCTCCTTGAACAGGGATCTTAATGAAATTTACAGATAGTCACATACTGCATTACTTATAAAAATTTGTAATTCTTAAGATTTAATAAACTGTTGTGAAACAATTCAGAAAGAAAAGGAAGAGCTCCTCTTTAGAAAATTTAGCAAGATACTTCACAATATGAACATAAGAATGGTTTATCTGTTACTAATGCTGTACTTTGCTTTACAGAAAGTTTGATGCAATTGTAAGGAGGTTGATGATGATACCAATTCTTACAGTTATTGCAGTAAACCATTTCAGCTCCAGGGATGTGCCGAAAACAAACACAGTATACACTGATGACGTAATGACTTAGTGTACAAACTGCAGAATTCACACGATGTGGAAACATTTCCAATTTCTTTTGCTTGAAACATTTCATCAAATGGGTACGCATATCTTGCTGTAACCACGAAATCTTGCAAGGGTCTATCCCCTGAGCAAGTGCGACTAAACATTTAATATAACAAACATTTTGAAATCAGCAAATCGTGAGAATAATGATTGCAATGAAAAATGTTTCATTGCAAAATAAGGTTTATTTCCATATGTGGGTTGAAATTATCTCGATTCCCAATGTTATTCAACCATACTTTTGTCTTTCAGATAGATGTTATTGTAAACAAGATAAAATTTCGTAAACCAACCTTGTAGTTCAAGAACAATCTTTGAATTCGATCATGGTTTAAATTTGTGTTGCA